TTTAATTTCTATTAATCTTATAAATACTGAAATTAATAAATTACAATGGAAACTAAAAATTTTATAATTCTACAATTATTTATAGTATATAAAATTTTTATTACAGATTTACAATTTTGAATATAATAACTCACAATTACTCGTAAATTCGATTTGAATAGGTTTTACATTACAATTTAAAACTGATGATTGTTGAATCACCAACAATTGGCATATATTGTATTGGTCTAGCTTATTTTATAAGATAGATAAAGATGCATACATTTTTTCCATGCTTTTGGTTTTTAAACGTCAACAATATTATTTTATTTTAATTTAATAAGTTTTTCTTGATTTTAATTTTTTTTTTTTTACTTACGGGATTTTAAAAACACGATGCATAGATATGTGTTTATAAACACAAAAGAAAAAAAGTTTTTTTCCTTAATACCTAGTAGTTTTCAATTACCAACTACTTAATATTCTGATTTATTAATTATTAATTGTCTTCCTTATCTATCCGCAAATGCTAATTTTTTTGTATTTTTCTACTTTAAATATTACTTTATAGCTTAACTATCTAATAATAATCTACGGGTTAAATTCAGTTCCATGCTATGAGAAGGAAATAGAATAAAAAAAAATTTGTAATCTCAGTTGTAATCTTAAGCTATATGATAATAGGTAAAAATCACATACTCCTATTATACATATTAATTTTTAATTATTTTAATTTTTATTGCAAGCCATTAAAAAAATTTAATTATTTTTTTAGATCAGGTTAATAGATATAGCATGTTATGCCTTTGATAATTTATACCATATTTTATATTATGTTAAGTTTCCTATATTACAAGTTTTGTATATTTATATAAATCATTTTTTTATATTGTATATTATTATATTTGTATATTTTGTATGTGTGTCTGTGTTTTTCGTGTGTAGGTATATGTGTATATCAAATAAACATTATAAAACAAATACCATATTTTCATCAGAAATTATTAATTTAATATTAATTATAAACATTAACGGTGAGTAAATATATCTCAAATTGTAGTGAATTAAATTAATCTAAACGATTTTTTAACAAATAACTTGTTTTAGGTGACAAATATAGTTAATAAAATGTATTCGATCAAATTGTTTATTATAAAATGTAACACATTATTTTAAAATCATTATGCATTTTAATTATTAAAGAACTATTTCATTTTAATTATTTAATTAATGTTATGTTAATTATTCTTACGGAATACCGCCATTTTTTTCCAAGTACCTATTTGTTATTGAGTACCATACGTTAATATAAAATAAAATAATTGAATTATATTTATATAATATAGGTCATATTTTTTAACACAAATGTATTTTATTATAAATAAGTTTATTTAATGGTTAATTTTTGCAATAAATATATACATAATATAGTTTCTTTAAGTTTTTAAACTTAAACAATTTACTGAGAAATGTATAACTTTTTAATACAATAGCAAATACTCCACCATAATGTTATTCAAAATTCATATATAAACCATTTCTCCAATTTATAATCACATGTCAAATATTTTATTTATTCCGAAAATGCATACATCAATAGAGAATTTTAGGAAAATATATAATATGTAAAAAGAATAAACAAAATATTACTCTCATGTAGTGCACTTCATTGGTAATGAACATATCGTTTTCAGGCACATTCATTTGTTCAGTTTATTTGTCTTCAAAATGTAAAAAGACTTTTGTCTGTAACAGATGATATGTTTAAAACTTGTTTGACGACTTGTATACAAAAGTTAATATGACAACGATACGTACTCTACATTTTTCCATGTTTAAGATTAAAAAGAATGTAGATGATTGTTCATATATAGTAAAATGATTGTTCAATATATATTTTACATTTATATATAAATATAAGCGTAACGTGCATTTTAAGATATGAAATATCTTATGTAAAAAAAATTGTATAACAATTACTATAAACTGCGAATATTATATTAAAATTTAAAATTAAAAAAGGCAAAACTCCTAGGTCGAATGAGATACAGATATGGGGGAATGATATTGCTGTATTAGTTCTTTAAACTTTAAACCAATGTACCATTTATTTCGAATGAACAATTCTGAGTGAAAGAAGTTTGGGTTTATATTTTTAACAATGGTTGATGTAGTAGTAGCAGAGCCGTCATATGTATTCTTAGGGCCTGATGCAAATTAATTCGAGCAAACTAAACCTCAATCATCATAATAATATACAAGTATGATAAAAAATATGTTCTCCAACCTCCACCATTCAAGGTCATATAAATGCATCGATACAATAAATCAAATGTTGAATAACTTCTCAACAATACATTACCAGTTAACATATTCAATTAAAATTTAATTTATTCCTAGATAATTTATATACAGCCGCAGAAAATAAGAACTTGGATGTTGTCGCGCCGATACTTGCGATAACGAATTTCTACGTAAATTTAGATAAGATTATGTCATTCATCACCCTTCGGCAATAACTATAATAAACTTCATTTATAACTATTTAGAAATAAGAATAACTGAATATGGAGCTTATATAACAGCACTTAATAAGAACATCCATTTGGGAGGATATGTTTCCCGTGCTTTTCTGTGTATATTACACATTTGTACATAAAATATTATAATTATTAATTTATATTAAATATATAATATTTTTTATAGATCTCATAGATAAGACTTTACCATAGGAGAACAAATTCTGGTAATCGTAGATACTAATTGTAAAACTATCGACAACGATCCCCGAAAAGCACCGATCACATATGTCATCCTCCTGGATTTTTGATGATATATGGCCTTGGTACTTAAATATAAATATAAATTAATTTTATTTAATTACTTTTATTAATATTTCATAAAAAAAAAATAGTTTAAAAGTAATGTATTAATGTATTAATATCAATTATATCTAATGGGTAACGCCCGAGTATTTCTAATCGATCTAAACTTTAAGGGGTCTCCCACTAAATTTTCTTAAGCTGCAATATGGTCTCATTGCCCTGTTTAACGATAAATCTAAGTATTAGAACCAAAATTCTTAATAAAATAGGTTGAACTATAAATTTTTTAACTTTTGCAAATGAAAAAAAGCGATCTACAATTTGGGAAAATCGAAAATTTCTATTGCCAATAAACACTACAAACTTCATTCAAATATTTCAATACTATGAAATGTGTTTAAAAAAAAAAAAACAAATACGAAAAACAAATGGAAAATCGTTGAAATATTTGATTTCTTCGAAATTTTATATCCTCACACTTATAAAACATTTATGTGACTTTCTTGTAGTTTTTTTCTTTTTTTTTCAATAAGAAATACTTAATAAAAATCTTATATCCAATTTTAAGTATTAAGTTTAAAAGTTGAATATTTTATGAAATGTTGATTACAAAAATATATCAGATTTTCATGATGGTTTTGTAATCGTTTAATTATTATCAGTATTTAATAATCAAACTCTATTAAATTTGTTTTCATTAATCATCAATACTTTGTGCAACATTTTCAGTTATAATTTTAAATATAAACAGATCCACTCGACCTTTTTCACTCAGAATAATTTAATTGAGAGCAATGGTACATTGTTTTCTAATTTAAAATACCAATAAAGCAATAATATTCACCTATCCTTATGCCTACACTACCATGGAGTTTTTTCGTATTAGAAATTTCAATATTTTGTCTAAATTTTTTTTATTAATGATAATTAAAAAAAAAAGAAAACGATTCAATGCGTTACTGATTTTATTTACAATTTTACTAAGTAGGAATTGTTTTGTTCATTCTCCTCTAGATTTATTTTTATACAGATTTAATTAAATCTGTTTTAAGTATAGTATAAGTATAATTTGTTTAAAAATCACGAATAAGGATAATATTCTTGCATGAATATTAATTCGTTAAGTACAAGTTAATGTTATAATATTACAATATTTATCGTTAAATTTAAATAAAGCTACAAAATTATATAATTTTGATTGACCTAAAATGTTTGTAATTACCTAGTAACAGAGCATAAAGTTGAACGAACGTAAGGGGTGGTTTAGTCTTCTTATCAATCACAGAACTAATAAAGCGTTCCTTTCAACATGTCTCCAAAAAATTTACAGAAACGCTCAACTGATTGTTAAGAATAATTTACACGATAAAATAGATGAAAAATTGGCTATGCATTTCAGTTGATGTCACTGGGTAATAACAGTGTTCCACAAACAAAACTAATTAAAATTTAATATAAATTTAATTTTATATTAATATATTATTATTAGTTTATTAATTTAATTTTTTTATTTTATTAAAAAATATTTACAATTCGTTATTTAAAACAATAAGTAAGTAATTTACAAGTACTTACAAGTATTTACATTTTTGCAGCACATGAATAGTTTGTGAAGAAAATTATTCACTAGCAACACCTCGTAATATATATACTCATTTATAATTAATTACCTATCTAGTAATTGTATGGGACTGTATGGAACGCTGAGAATGATATATGGATTAGAGTCCCCCTACCCTTTTTTGCCACTTTAAACCCTGTATAGTATTAACAATTTAAAGTTAACAGAACAACGATGAATCTATACATAACGGATGCTTCTGTCGAAATATTATAAAGTTTTTTTCTCTAATAAAAAAAAATTATTTTGTAAAATACTAATTACCATAAAAAATAACGTTCAGGCGTAAAAACAAAATATTCACTATTAAAACATTTAAAATGCTCAATAGCTTATAAATAGTTTAACCATTTTAAACATACATACAGTATTACGAAATGTATATTAACATATAAATGTATAAATAATAAGTCAGATTACTGATCAAATTTACCATAATAATGTTTTGTCTTTTTTTACATACATAATACAAACTAATAGTATAAGTTACACTAAAATATTTACAAGTGTTCAAATACATTGTCTCATAAAGCTTTATCCATATTCCAATTATCTACATTATATACAACTTTACCATGAATGTAATATACAAATAACCATAAAATACAAATATTGATTATTTTATACTAATTTTATATACTAATTAGTGGCCTCTATTACATATGTATGTAATCATACATGTAGTCCGTGTAGTTTTGATAAACGCGTGTTTTTAATTTACGTGTATTATTATAGTTTGTATTACTAATTACAAGAGTAAATCTGTCATTTATTAAAGGTTTATATATTTTTATGAGGTTATAAGATTTAATATAACCCATTTTAAAAATATAATCTATGTAAAGTTCATAAATTAATGATTTTATAATTACAATCATTTAATTTTAGATTTTGAAAAATTACAAAAATCGCTTTTTTTAGACGAAATTAGTTTGACAATTTAATTAGTATAGTCGAACGAATTTTCAACCCTCGTATAATGTTTAAAGTAGGTACCGAGTGATGTTTGATATAATATTTTATAAACAATATTTTTACTTAATAAATAAATATTCATTACACGAATCACACGTGTAGATTAAATACACGAACTTCGTGTAGGTACACATCTGTATACAATACACATGCAATATTAATTACCCGTGTACATTAAATACACAAACTTCGTATACACGTGTATTTTAAATACAACTTTAAAATCGTTACCTCTATTCAATATGATTATGGTTTTTATACTATTTTTAAACGCGGCACACTATGCTCTTAACATTTTCACACCATATTTCTCAGCCATTCATAACTTTTAGAGGCATTTTTATAGCTCACTATTTAATATATTTAAAAAGACCGCGGTACATTTAGAGAATTCCCAAGATTCCCAAGATTTATTTATATTAATATCGCAGACGCTTATTATACTTAGTATAATTATAATTTTGAAAGATAAATAATAATTCGATTGCTGGATTCGTTATTGATTCGTACATTAGATCATTAAAGTGGCCTGATTTTATTTTCAAACGAACAAGAAACTGCTTCAGACGTTACTTCGAAAACTTAATCGATTAGTTTGCTCAAGCAAAATCAAGAAAGAAAAACATTTTTATAAAACTAACAGAACGTATAAATTAAATATTTTAAATTCTGTTATTACCTCGTTTATACTATTTTAACCAAAATAATGAGATACAAATAATGTGAAACATAAAGTGATTATATTCATTATTGTATATCAAACATGTTTTAATTATTTATTACCTATTAGTAGGTGTGAATATTAATATGACCAAATTTAGTAGATTATTATTTATTATTACTTAGTGTTTGTATATTGACGGTAATGTTTTTGTGTGTATAACCGAACCTATAGGTAAGTTATTTACCCAATTTTTTATACGATGTTTTTGAAAATAATATTTAATGTAAACCAGTAATGTCCAACTATTTTTCCTCGGCGGGGCACTTTGATAAAAATTATCTTAGAGTGGGCCACCAAATATAAAAGTACGAATAATATCAATATATTAATGTTATTCTGTTACATATTGATTCGATATTTGATCAGTATGCTTTTTTAAATGCACAGGTATATCGTTAAATTTATAATTAAAAATGCTCATAAATAAAATTAATATACTTAGAAAAAATATCGTATTTTATAATAATTTTACTTTTTTTAAACAATATTTTGTTTCGTTTTAAAAAAATTTTAACGGGTCACGGGTTGGGCACCATTGAAATAGATAGTGAGAAACATGATATGATTCGTTAACTTTCCATAAAATTAATTTATGCGGGTAGTTTATAATCTAGTTAGAGATAGAGACAATAAAAATATTTACTGAAATTTATATATTTTTTAGTTTTTGGTGATTGATCCAATATTATTCGTGAACCAAAAGTGGGTCACGACCCATTAGCTTAGAAACACTGGTCTCGATGTGGATAGTTGATCGTAAACTCACATTGTACCTATACTCTAGTCTAATAGTTTATGATTTTCAAATTTATTTAAAAATGCCTACCTAAGTGGACAATAAATGATATATAATTGTCATCAAATACATTATGTTTATAAATTTGATTGTAATCCATTCTAGTTATTTGATTTGCACAGTTTGTGAAATCAATTATAATTCCAACAAAAATCTTACGAAACTATCATAACATTTAAGAATAGACAAATACTAAATAATAGGTTAAGTAAAACAAGTTTAAATCTATAAAGTTAAAAATAAAAATCATTAGTTTAAAAATAAAATGTAGAGAACAAGTTGATTTTTACAATTTTATATTGTACATTTTCCAAATAATATTTTTTTGTGATATTTAAAGAACAGTGTTCAGCATTTTTAAGTGCTTATTATAAGATATATAATATAACTTTTGAACCTTTATAATATGCAAAACAACTATGATAATATGTATTCATATAATAATATTCTTTGGCTAAACGAAGACATGATACGGATAGTGTAAGTAGATTCAATGAATGGTTACCGAATAGCGAAATTTAATCTTCTGCACTTGTTTAGGTAATTTGTTTTAAGGTGCCTCAGTAACGTAAACCGAACAACTGCTTATCCCAACCATCCCATATCCTTACACCAATTATTTAGCAAATGAGTCATTAAGGTGATTTTATCTTAATATCAAAATGCATCCAGCGTTTATTATGGGACGAATTAATATTGTCATTTAATATTAAACCAAAATAAGGACAAATATAAATTTCACTATAAAGTATATTAGTAAAAACAGTAATTAAATATAAATTGTGTATCATTTATTATTTTATTTTTAGGAATCTCGAGGAAAGAGGCCATTTAAAATATGGGATGGTTTTAGAAACATAAGAAAAAGCTTAGTGGCCTCCAGCTTAAAAGACCTTGAAATACGTGGTAAGTACTATTTTACTAATTTTTTTCTATGCATAACCATGTAGCACTTTCAAAGCTTGCGTAGACTTCAACTAGAATATTATCAAAAATACAGTAAGTTGCATGTACTATTATTAATTATTGTATTAGTTATATATACAAATATACTACAATTTATGAAAACAAATATTTTTTCTATTTTATATTGATCTTATTTATGTTTTTAAACAATTATTACTTCTGGTTTTTATCATAGTATAATTAATTTAATTTAAATAATAATTTTAAAATATGAAAACGTTACTTATAATATTGAATATCTATATTTTGAATGTAGTTTAATATTTTAATTTTAATATATAGATAGTTAAAATTATTTAAATTTCAAAAAATTTTGAACCTTTAAATGAAATAGGTTAAATACTAATGATTTCTAATAATTATTATATAAAATATTATGAGAAATTTAAAAATTGCTTGTTCAAACTACCATCTGTGTTCACACATCAATCAATAAGGGAGTTATATTAAACTTTCAATGAACTTTTAGTTTTCCGAAAAGTTTTAACGATGGAAAAATATCATAAGTGACATCAAAAATATTAGATCTAGATTTATCACACTCTAATATTCCAAAATATTTTTTATAACAATTAATAATCATTCAAAATATAATTTTTGTTCAAAAATAATATTTTTTCGTATTTGAAGAAATAAAATAATTTTATTTCATAAAATATAAGCTAGTCATTAAATGTTTTCACTTATTTTATGTCATCATAATCCTCATTTATCCATAACCATAGTATATTATTCTATGACTATACGTAAGTATAGCTTCAACATGCTTTATTACTACAATAATAATTTACTAAAATACCTGAATATTTCTTTGTGGCATTACATAGTTCATAAGTTTGTAAGACATAGTTTTATCAAGGTGACAAAAAGTAATTCAGAAACATCTTATTTCACATGATAATGCAAAGGGAATTTTCAATTAATCTAGTTTTTATAATTATAAAATGTTCAATTATTTTCATTAATAAGGATCTATACATTTTAAGTATATCACTATTACAACGGTATTCAATAGCTGTTAGTAAAAAATATTGATTTTCTAGAAAATTTGTAAACATTATATTCTCTGCCACTACGATTAAATGAATGTAAATTTTTATTCAATAAATTTAAAATTAAGTATGGATGATATTTACAATTTGTTGATTGGAACATAAAGGCTAATATTTAAAAGTTTTAACACGTTTTCAAGATATTAAACGCTAATAGCGATAGTAAACAATATAAAAATATATTTTGAAAATTAGAAGAAGTTCTAGTACATTTATTACTCCTTGTTATAAAAAAAAAAAAAAAAAAATCGATAGACAAAACAATATTACCCAACTTCAAATCAATAAAAAAGAAGTACTCGTATATAATACTGTAGAATACTCTTATGGCTCCGAAAGCTTTTTTTTCTAACAATAAAAAAATCACTTGCCATAAAAACAATAGCTAAATCACTTCGACTAAAAACTATTAGTAGATTACATTTTAAATTCTAAAAAAAAAAATTAAAAGCTTCTTATTTTTTCCATGTGATTTTTTTTTTTTTAATTCATTATGTATTATTAAATCTAATTTTACTATTTTATATTATAATTAATAAGTTATAAATATAATTCAGATTAACTGATTAAAATGTACCAATATTTTTACATACACAGAAGAACAATTATTATCTGTTATTTGTTATTTTCTATTAGCCAGAATTTAGCAAAAATAAAAAATAATTTACTTAAGAAACGTAATTTTTTGAATAGTCATGTTTGTTATATTTTACAAAGTTTAAAAATACTTAAAGGTCAAAATTACATAATTAAGTATAATTTATAAAATTATTTATTTATTTATTTAACAATCATTCAATTTAAATTTATCTTTTATATGATATATCTATGTAATCAGATTTATTATTATATTTTTATTGTAAATATTAAATTATTGAAATCTAATTCTACAAACGTTAGGCCATTAAAAGGTCTTAATAAATATAACCTTATTATTTAGGTATTCAACGATAATTTATTTGCGGTATTGAAGTTTAAACCAAAATATCATTGATTAATGATGAATAATATATTTAATAATTTCAATAGTTTTATTTATAATTTTTTTAAATACCATATTATGCTTTACACGAATTATAATTTTGAATTTAGAAGATTTAATACATTTAATATTTAATTTAGTCAAAGCAAACTATTTAGAAAGTATCCGTTTAAGTAATTTTCTAACTTAAATAGTTAGTTTTCATAGATAATAATTTTCAAATTTATCGAGTTTAATTTAATGTGTAAAATAGTCCTAATCCAAATCGTTAAAAAAAAACGACTAATCTACATAATTCTTCATTCCAAAATTTCAAAAAAACTGTACACAATCACGATTAAGCCAGATTATAGGCTCAGATCATATCCATGGATAGTGATTAGTATTTATAATAATGCATGCATGGTAATTATAGCTTTTTCACGTAGATTGTGGATATAAATAGTATCATTACGGGTGGTTTGAACTAGAGGTATTTATTTCATGTGTAATTAAATTCACGGACACACGTAATATTAAAATTCACGTATGCAATCATATGAATTTAACTTCACGTGATTCCGTGAATTTTGAATTGAATCACTCGTTTATTATTACATTTGAAACGTTATTATTATTGGTTCGTAGAAATTTCCACGTCACTGTCGCGACATGTCATGTGCGAATCATATACGTTAATTCACCTGTCCCATAATTTATCGATAATACTGTTAATGAAAAATTTAATTATAAAATAGTAGGTATAAATATTTTTAGTTTTTAGTTTTTGATTATTGTTTTAAGCACACGTGAAGTAAATATCCGTGATTTACTAATTTTTAACCTATAAAAAAAAAAAGTAACATCTAACTTCTACTCTAACTTAATTACTATTTTCAACAAACTAACTTCTAACTAATATAGAAATTAAGAACATTTCAGAAACTAACTTATATTCTAACTTAGTTTTTAATGTAATAACTTAACTTGAAATAGTTAAAGAATATGACTAACTTGCCCGCTTTGAATTTCATTATGTTTTTAAAAATGTATAAATTTTATAATAATATTTATTTATTGAATAACATAAAATATTTCCTCCTTCATTCCCCCGATAAGATTACATCATATGTTTATAGTAATTATTACATCAAAGAGTAATTGTTTTATTGAAAACTGTTTGTTGAAATAAAATAATTTATTAAGAAATTATCCAAATATTTTCAATTCGATTTCAATGTTTTTTATACTTCTAAAATTATACAACTAAATTGATACATAATTTAAAAATTATTTTAAAATTTAAATAAGATAAAGATATGAATACAATTATAAATATTTTAAGTTAATATATTAATAAATCTATTCTTAGAACTTTTTTCCGTTTTTAATAATCATAAGTTTAGAACGAATAAAATGAACCCCTGTCTCATATAAAATATTTACCGGGTAAGGTGTAGAAATAAAAACTGTTTATTTATTTTTTTTCTTATTTTTTGTACCTTTTCGATATAATTTTTTTTCGTATAACGTTCATATTTTATAATATTTATATAAATAACCAGAAAAAACATAATGGATACTGTTTTTCCAATAATAAAACATAATTGTTCTTGAATGAAAACCATTTCAAAATAATATTAATACTTTCACAAACAGTAGTTTATACAGAATATTATAGTGACAACAAATTAAACTAATGTTCCTTACTCTTAAATTTGTAATGGTATATTTAATTTCAAAAAATCAGTGTAGAAATAAAAAATAAAATTGTTTAATTTAAAATAAACAAACCGAAAAAATTATAATAAACTCCTACAAATCGATACATGAATGTAAGACTGAAAATTAATAGAGAACGTTTCAACTGCAGAAGTAGTATCAATATTGAAATATAAAATGAGCAGATCAAAGAATATTTAATATAATGGTTCGGTAAACAGCAGCAAAGGGGATGATTTCAGAAAACAATTTAGTGTAAGAAATAAACAAAGAGAGAACAAGATGTGTGTTATAAAGTATATATAAATATGACAACGTTATATTGTATCACTGATTATGTATATTTAAATCCGTAAACATCAATAGCTTCTTAGAAATTGTTATAAACTATTACTTAAATTTTTAATTTATTACTTTTTAAAATACATTTTAAATTTAAATTATATTCATAAATTTATAAAAAATACATATTAATTATACAAAAATGTTAAATGCAATTAAAACTATGAAGGAAGCAAATAATTATTAAAATTATTTTTTACTTGGTCTTATAAATAATATTATAATAATAATAATTGTATATATAATATAATTAATCTGAACGGTTATTTGAACGAAAATATTTCTTTTGATCATTTAAAATAAATTAAAATGTTATTAGGGTCTAAAGTGGTTTATTCATTATGTTTATAACGAGTTATTTTGTTCTGAAAACTATATGTTCGTTATTAAAAAAACCCGTTTGCGATTTATTTTATATTTATTTGTTTTAAATAATTAAATTGTACGTACATTTAACAAAACAAAAATATGTAAGCCCTTACAACATTGGTCGACGACCCTGGTTTTAATATTACAAATCACCAACATTATCAATGAATTAAAATAATATTGATATTATAGAAAATAAGAAAATAATTACTATTTTTGGAGTAATATTGTTAAATTTATATTAATTTTAAAATTTTAATTATCTTAATGTTTTAAATATTTATTAGATTTAACGGATTAAAATTTATATAACAAAAGTGTTATTAATTTTTCATACATTTTGCATTACTGTCAAGGTACAATACTGATTTTTGGTGAAACCTAAATAAATGAATAAATAAAAATAAAATATTGCTCAATAGTAAAATAGGTATGCACCTATTATCAATGATTGTATAAAAATACAGATGCACTAACTGATTATTAAAACTGGTAGCGCATATGTGGACGCAGACACTTTAAGTAACCTTTTGCATTCAACATGATAAAAACCTGGTTTCAATAATAAAAAATAATAAAAATAATTTAGTTTCTATTGTTGAAAACCTGTTTTTATCAATATGATTTCAATGGATTACAGCAATTCCAGTGGTTGCGTCCATATAGGCGCTAACAATTTTTTTCAATAGAATGGCGTATCTATACCATTATTGGTATATTTTAAAATCAATGATATTACGTACACATATTGTATTAAGTGTTAATGAAGGTATTTCCCAAAAAACATTATAAAATATAAGGATGTTATTTAATCTTTTCATAATATATAACTAGATAGGTAGTTAATTTATTATCTATTCGCTACTCATGTTCAGGCGTTTCATGTCTCTTACAATATATATATATATTTATATTATATTACATTACACAACATTTAATTATTATACACGCCTGTATAAATTGTAAATTAATTAACAAACGATTAAAAAAAATTAAAATAGGATAATTGATTATTAACATTAATATGTTTTTACTTTTCAACGTTTATTTATACGTAAAATTGAGTTTTTTTTTATTATAATTCACCAAGAAAATTACACAATTCATGTAATAATATATTTCTCCACGACACCTTTACCGTACTTGTGAAAATAAATATTTACATTTTAATCAAAAAACTTAACATACTGTTTATGGTTTTGTCTTGTTAAAATTATTATTAATTTTAAACGCCAATTTGTTTTATCTTTATTTTATTGAACATTAATATAATGATAATTAAATTTCTAACACTTCTTAAAATACACTTTATAATTTCAATAATTGTTTACATTTATATAAAAAGAAAGTATCGTTGGGTACTCATCCAACATGCTATTTGTCATTTAAAATAGTGTTTACAGAAACAATTTCATTCAACGATTATTTTAAATAAATATTTGTTCTTAGAATATAAAGCATCTTACCAAATAATACAAAATTTATTTAAGTGTTGGATTAAAATTGAAATATTGATTTTAAAACCATTCTTACTTCTTATATAGATATATAATTTCTTTAACTTTATCAGACCCAAAATAAATCCATTATAAAAAAGTAATAAAGCATCATATTATTAAATAGTAATAAATAGTATAAACAAAAGTAAATACGTAAATATTAATTTGAACTTAGAAACAAATAAGTTATTTTTATTTTAAAAATTCATAACTATATTTTTAATATAATTTATATTTTTTTGCAGGCAAAGAGAAACTAAATATCGCGCAGAATGAGTCCGTTAGATTGGTACTTGAAACTGACGGTACACAAATCGAAGATCCCGAATACTTTAAAACACTACCAAACAACACAACTGTGTTACTGCTCAGGAATGATGAGTATTGGTACCCAGCTGGAGTTGACGCCATTAAAACAGGTTATTACTAATTGCATAGTATATTATTATTATTATTGTTGTTCATTACATATTAGCATAATGAAAATTATATTCAACCTCTTTTAGATTCTTCAAATACTCAATCATTAAAAATCCCAATTATTTTTAAAAATTATATTATACTGAGCATTTTGTTAGTATACAACACAGCACTCCAAAGGTATCTAACGCATAACTATATTACCGAGAGCCCTATAACTATTTTTTCTCAGACCCCAAAGGGCACCTTAAGTCAAAAGTAGTGAATGTATATGAAGATATATCACCCACTGAACATCTAAATTCCGCTGATTTTTTGGTCCTAGTCCGTTTCTGCTTTTATCAACGTATTAAATTGTTGATATTAATTTAGTGTCAGATTTTAGTCTTTAAATACTAATTAAATTTAGTATGTGTGGAGTGAGGATAAATTTAAATGACCCTTTTGAATTGTTTTGAACTGAAAACCATTAGTCAATAAAGTTTAAAATGCCTTTTAAAATATAAACTGATGAGTCGGTCGTTATTAAATAACCGACAACTAACAAAACTATAATGCATTCGAAAAACTATTTCGAGCAAAGATCAATGTTATATTCCTATAAATATGAGCAGAAACATTAAATATCTAATATAATTATATCTCAGGTGTGCCATATAATAAAAAAGTTCTATATCTTTCGCTTGTGTTAGTAATATGTCTTCATAAATGTTCAGTAATAAAGAAAAAATTAATAATTATCATCAACATACAAAAATTTTATCCATTTGTATTTATTACAGTAGTTTAATGAAATCTCATAAATTGTTGACACTTGGTATATTAGCCTTACATATAATTTTCAAGTCATAAAATGCAAATCTACTCTTTTTGTCCAAATATCATAAAAGGTTACGGTATATATTTTTACATGATTTCCTAGTTTTTTCTTATGCTTAGGAAAACTACCGAGAAAAATGAAAAATGACCTTTCTGAAGTATGTGTCCAATTTCCGATCTGAAAGGTTGCTATATGAAACTTTTGGTACAGATTTACAACCTAAAAAAGTGTTAACAAAAAAAAAAAAAAAACATTGCAAAAGCTATTACATTCTTTGCTTTCCTCAGTATCCAATAAACTCATTATTTTAAATCTAAAAGATTTCACACTAAACTGAAAATTTGACACGTAATACAATGATAAATTATATTTATCAAGAAATATCTAATTAGTACTACTTGTTTAGTCGAAAATGAAATTTACCGGTACACCCGATAAATAATACGTTCAGTTAAATAAACTTAACTCTCCCGCGGCATTCATACCTACATCACTTGAATGATTCAAGAGATAAATCAATGAAAGTTTATGTCTCTACTTATCTAATAAACTATATAATACAATAATTTAATGTAATATTATACATATGTATATACTTATCATAGGCGTACGCAGACATAAATTTCTGGGGATGCCTACTATATTTTTGGGCCCTTATCTTAATTTAGGCCAGCTCTGAAGAAGGATATTTAATAAATTAAAATGCAAAAATAAACAATAATTTAATTTTATAATATATTATTCAAATACAAAAATTACTGATTTATAATAATCTTACTTACTTAAGTTATCGAACTCATTAATTACTGAATCTACATCAACATTAGAAGCCATTTCTTCTTCTGTGAAAAGTAGAATTAATGACTCCAAATGGTCTTGGGCCATGGTACTTCTTAATTTACTTTTAACAATATTAAATTTTGAGAAAACCCATTCACAGGAACAGCTAGTAACAGGTAAAATGCTAAACATTTGTAATATTTAAAAAAAAACAATTAAAAATAGTGTATCTACTGCAATATTTTAACCAATCAAGCCACAAAAACATAGTTTCATTAGTAATTATTTTAGGAATATTTTTGTCAGTTGAGTTCTTGAGAAGTTTGATTTCGGCAATCAAAGTGTCTAGAGAAATTTTTGCAAACTTTTCTAATATAACAGCCATTTCTGTAGTTATATTTAAATTAAGCATATTTGCAACAGAATTTATAAGGTCAATTGTGTCTTGTTTGAATCTTGAATTTATTCCAGAAACAAGATCATCGAGTAATGGGTAGTATACAGGAACTTGAAGTTCTTAATATTTAGAACTGTAAAATACTTGATTTAAAGGAGACTGATCAATTTTAGTTAAGACTTTTCTTTTTTTCTTCTGGAATACCTATTTTATGTACTTCACATATTTTTTCAGTGTTGGAAAATATAATTTTGAACTCCTCTTCAATATTTCTCATATTTAATAGATTTTTTAAAGAATTTACACTTTGTGTTGCAAATAAAATGTCAATTTTAGGTGACTGAAGCAAGGAACTTACTTTTAAAATTATATTTAAAATAGGAATCATCAATTCCATACCAAAAATAAATTCAAATGCTTGAAGCTGTAGTGAAATACCAATCCCTTTGCCTTTATTCGAATTATTTTTTACAGCTTTTACAGCTTCTACACGACATGCCCATCGTGTAATTGAACAAGACTTTAATTTTAGGAAAGTAGTTCCTATTTCTTTAGCAACTTTTTCTAATGTTGAGTGTCTCATTGAACTACTTTCGATATAATTATGAACAAACTGTATAGTTTCGAGGAAATTAAAAACTAATCGATTTTTTACTACTTTTTTAGAATTTTTTTCACGTACAGCATCAACCAGTGTAAGATTTAGACAGAAGAAATAGCAATGCACATACATAATTTCATTATTTTGTTCTTTGCATCTCATTTTTACACCATTGATATTACCCGACAGAGTTGATGTTCCATCAAAGCAGACAGCAATACCGTACAACAATTGACATTTGTTCGTGGTGACCAACATCATGTCTCATTATTGAAATAAATGAACTGTTAATATTGGAAACAACTTTATGTAGAACAATTATATGTATAGATGTAATTATGTCATTTTGGATTCTATTAATTCTATAAAGTGCATTTTTTGGAGCTTGTTGAAAACGAATTTTAAGTAAATCATCATACTTTGATAGCAAATTTAAAACTTCTTAAAAGAGTCTTTGGTTAGTGCTTGTTGAATTTTCATCATGACCATGAAGTGGCTTTCCTCCTTTACATAAACAAATAACTATATCTATCAATCTATTCATTATCGGTCTGTTTTTAATACGTTCTTCAACTTTTTTACTTATTGATACTTCTTTAGCCAAGTCTAATACACAATCAATTGATTTTTCGTTTAAAAAATTATGTAAGGAAGTAAAACTATTAACCTGACATTTTGATAAATTATATTTTTTGAAAACTTCAGTGGCCTTGTTCCATTCTTTAAATCTTATTTTTGAAAAAAACTGTTATTGTTTGACTATTGTTACTTTCATTAGATATCTCTAAAACATCTGCACGAGAAACAAAATACAGCATCTAATTCTGTTCTATATTCTATCCAATTATACAAAGTGTATCATTTTTTTTTTTGAAAGATCTTCGTTTGTACCCTTGAATAGTCGATGGATCGATGTCCAAGATTGGTTGATAAGGTCCTTTTAATACTTGTTCCTTAAAACTTAGGCTGTCTACTGGTAATGAATGGACAGAGTCTAAATGGCTGAATGTATTTACTGAAACAAAAATTGTTAGTTTTATTATTTAAATTATGTGAATAGTCTCCTCAGAGAGCAAATGATGATGATGATGGCTGATGAGTTTTCCTCCAATCTCGAAAAAGACACTCGTGGTCAATGTATTTAATTTTAAAGAAATAATAAATCATTTCTTCAATAAAATGATTTTCAGCTAAGTTTTAGTGTAATAAATGTTGAATGAAAAAAAAAAAAATAAAAAATAAATAAATAAACATCGTTGTAAAACTACAAGCTATCAGAACCACTATCGAAATCTAAAATATAAAAAATAGGTTTTATTAGGATTACCATTTTTTTATGAACAAGATGGAAGGAAAATATTTTTAATTTAGTAGAATATGGTACATCAGTGTTTTTCATAACAGTATTATAGCATTCTTTTTGAGGTGACGTTAATTTCATACAATCAATAATAACTGAATCATCATTTTAACAATTTACGTTTTGATCACCAACTATAGCTAGAATATAATATTTATTTATATAATAATTAATCAAAATAATAAAAATTAAATTAAGATTTAAGTGCACTTATTTTGTATAGTAGACAATTAAATTAGCCATAAAAGCGATAAATGTATTATGTTACTAAATAATAATGGAAATATGCTCAATTTTATCAAACACTTCTTGTCAGACAGAACTTTTCAGGTCAAAACTGATGGCCACCTCTCTTTGACCCTCAAACAAGAAAACGGCGTCCCTCAAGGATCCACCATCTCTGTCACCCTTTTCCTCATAGCCATTAATGACGTAAGTGAATCAATCAAACTCCCCGTAAACCATACTATTTTTGCCGACGACCTAACCATATGGTGCCGAGGGAGAAATATAAATAGCATACAACCAATATTACAAGACACATTATCTTCACTAGAAAAATGGTCGGCTACTTCTGGCTATCGCTTTTCCGCCACAAAATCACAGTGCATCATCTTCTCTCAACTCAGAAAATACCAGACACTGCAAATCAAAATAAATGATCTTCAAATTGCAACCTCTAAGACTATCAAGATCTTAGGCATCATATTCGATAGCAAAAATACTTGGTGCACACACCTAAGAGAATTACGAAAAGTGTCCGCTATAAGAATTAACACCCTCAAGGCACTTGCACATACCTCATGGGGAGCTAACTCACTTTCCCTCAAACAGATCTACAAATCCCTCATACTATCCAAGCTCGAATACGGTTCCTTCCTCTTCATAAATGCCAAACTATCACATCTCAAAATCAATGAAACGATACACAATTCCGGATTAAGGCTAGTTTCTGGAGCATTCAGATCCAGTCCCACCTCCAGCTTATATAACATCACCAATACCCCTCCAATACACCTAATAAGAAAAAAAAATACTATGCTCTTTTATATAAGGCTAATCCAAAATAATATCAAGACACACCGAATCATCAAAGACGAACTTCTACATATATCCATCGACCCATCCGGAGTCATTAAACACGAAAACCTAATAGTCCCCCCATGGATCTTAAACATAGATGTAAATCTTTCAATATCAGACCTACCCAAAAGCAAAACTCTACCAAAAACGTATAACAGTGAACTACAATCATTGCTCGAAGACTACAAAGAATACACAATTTTTTTTCACAGATGGGTCGAAAACGGACGAAGGAGTAGGAGCCTCTGTGATATACAAAGAGAGTAAAATAATGATCAAGATTCCTAACTCATGTACAATTTTTTCTGCTGAAGCCATTGCAATTTCTCACTCACTCGATATCATTGAACAAAATAAAATAACTAAATCCATCATACTCAGTGACTCTCTAAGCACCTTAACCAACATTCAAAACTATCTTCAACCTAACGACATTAGCAGAAAGATTCAAAATCAAATATCGTCTTTAGAACTCCAATCTCAATCAATCACTATGATTTGGATCCCAAGCCATGTTGGAATCCAAGGAAATGAATTAGCAGACACATACGCCAAACAAGCCATTACCTCTCCTGATGCACATCAAATTAATATCCATACCCTACAAGACAGCAAAAACATAATTAACAAATTTATAACAAATCAATGGCAACAGATATGGCAAACAATGCACACCAAACTTAATGAGATAACACCGTCAATATATCCATGGCCAGTTACATCTTTACCTCGTAGGCAAGAAGTAATCCTCAACAGATTAAGAATTGGCCACACATGGTTGACCCACGGACACCTCATGAACAGAACGGATCCTGCTCTATGCCCCACCTGTGAAGTAACTCTCACAGTCAAACACGTAATTTGCAACTGCCTAAAATACAGAGACATCAAGGACAGTCTAGAAATATCCGACAACCTCCAGCAAGCACTAAGTCCAGACCCAGAAAATGTTTACAAAATTTTTAAATTTTTAAAATTAACAAAAATGTACAATTTAATTTAATATAACTCTTTATGTATTCAGTTGTACCTCCCTTTAACATGTAAATATAACTTTAGATTAAAAAGCCAATAACCATTGTAGTTGTGGCTTCATCAATAAAAAAAAAAAAAAAAAAAAAAAATAATGAAAATATTCTGCATTGATTGAATTAACCGTTGTTTAAGCCGTAATAAAAATAAAAATACTTGTTCAAAATTATTCATTGAGCCAAATTTCAAGTAAATTTTTACCAAGGTAGAAAAATAGGTACGTGAGGAATCTTTTGAGGATTTTCATCCAGATTAGAAACTAATGTTTTTATGAAATTTTGGTTTAAAAAAATCATATTATTACGTAAAAAATGGCCAGCTTCTTACTAAAATTATAATTAAATGGTTATAAAAAAAAAGTTGACCAACGATTTTCAAGATTTTTCAGGTTCATTCGATATACAGTTTGTCATACGAAGATTTATACACTTGCTATAGGTACTTTCTATGTTTAAAAATATCTCCTGTTTTAAATGAGATAATCAAATTAATCATTGATTATGGAAGTGTACAACCGAAAACTGATAGTTTGTTGCATATTTAGTTTATAAAAACTGTCGAAAAAAAACAGGCGTTATTGGATACATCTCTTTAAGTTTAATATGTTCTCTTTTTTATTTCATTTTTTTATTTTATCTCCTTTCTTATCAAATCTGTCACAAAATTCACAGCAAATATTAATCTAAGCCAATCGCTTTATTACTCTGTTATGATATGACTCGAAACTTAAGTTCCAAACTTCAGGGTGCTTCTATATTTCTGAAATAAAAATTTCGATGTCAAAAATTTAAAATTGTGTATTCAAATCCATTATTACGATAAAAACACGCACGTGTGTATCGATCAATAAATCGCTATGTAATGAAACACCGCTTTTATGATATTTTAACGTTGCGTTATCGGAGTAATTTTTGTCTCGTACGAGCCTGTATGATAACGAGCGATGACGGAGACGTGTGTGTATCGGTCAATTTAATTATAAATTTATCGCCTTGCAATTACCATGATGCAGCGGTGCCGCATATAACGCACGTGTGTACCGAGCCTTATAAAATAGGTACTAAACTATTTTTAAATTTTACAAAAATTATAGAATAAAAAGTTTATTTTTTATTTTTTTAACAATAATTTTTATTTATTACTAACTAATCAAAGATAAATATTTCTAGCTCTATGAGTTCTCTAAAGAAAGTCAAAATTTTATTAACTCTTATTACATAGAAGATATCGCTCTGTATATATCTCAGTGAGCACTATATATCATATTAAATTTTCAGCTCATAATATCAATAATTTAAAATATATTTAGATACAAATAGACGAAAAATGAGATTTCCAGTTCGATAGATATTTCAAAACTGGTCAAATTTTTTTGAAAATTTATTTTCGTATGTATTAATATTATAGTTTCTGACTTGAAAATTTAGAATAATGTTTATTTCGTTCTTTTTTTTACACAAATGATTAATAATGGGTGAAAAATTCAAGTTTTTAGTCCTATTAGTTATAGGGTTATAACTAAATGTTTTGGTAGTTTTTTCTTATTTTTGAAAAGTATTGAGAATTTTGAAAATCATCCTGTCTAAAGAACCACTTGGTTCCGATTTCTGATGAGTTTTTTGGACAAAACTTGGACAAATATTTCTATACCAAATCGTTTTCCTAAAAGTAAAAATGAGAACGAAATAAACATCATTATAAATTCTCAACTCAGAAACTATAATTTAACCTATAATTTGTTGTTACATAATTATTTAATAATATTTATATATACTTACGATTTATTTTAAGTAGAATATATTTATCAAAAGACCCTTGTATTTTCTTCAATTGAAGATCTTTTTGCGCTTTTTTTTTCGGTTTTTGGGAACCACTTTTAGGCGGCATGATTTTAATAAAAAAAAAAAAAATAGTTACATATACATGCACATTCAGTGTTCATTTTAGAATAACAGTACTAGATAATTTGTAAATATATAATAGTAAACAGTCAACAGATAATAGTTTTATATTCTTCGTTTATAATTATACATAGATATAACAGATGCAACTCACCGTGTTTTCTACATCACTTAAAATTTAAAAATAACTCCATGGCTCAAATAATAATGGTCTTTAATCGCATCTAATTGCATGGAATTATATATTTATATCACAACTATATTAGTCCCCCAATAAATATTATTCCTTGAATCGAATATCTATTTCTTAAAATATGTTTACGATTTATTTTTATCTTATTACGAAACATTATTTAATTTTATTTACCATATATTTTAGAAAAAGTTACATTTTATTTTAAGAACATCAGTCTAAATATTGGTTCTTTGCTCTGGGACGTTAGGGCCCCAATTATAAAATGTCTGGGGGTGCCCGGGCACACCTGGTACGCCTATGAAACTATATGTCAATACAATTTATAGTGGATAATCAAATCTTAACATTTGATAAAATTCCATATATAACATTATAAAAAAATTTGAATAATATATTATAAATTAAAATTATTAATTCTCTATCATTATAATAAAAATAATCGATATAATAAACAATTTACAGTATAACTTAAGCATTTTAATTAGATTCTGTCGTTAATCGATTTCAATGTAAAGATATAGAAATTGGATGTTAAAATATAATTGGAAACTCTTTGTAACTACCATATTACAGCAGTATATGATTAAATAAGCTTCTTCAAAGGTACTTTGAAACGGTTTCTTAATATTATTTGAAGTAAACTTTTTCGCATGAACACGGTTCAGTTAAAAATATATACATTAGCTATTTCATAAGATATTCCACTGTGAATCAGCAAAATATATTATTATTTCAAACGTATATATTACAGATGCGTTGCTCTGTATTTGTACATTAACTCTGATTTTTTTAGTCTTGTATATTTTTATTGAACACCTATTTTTGCTAATATATAAAAATACGACAAATCTGTGTTCTTTTGAAATACATCAACCCGTCGATGAATTAAAAAAAATAAAATAAAAACTATCCCAACAAAAAGTAAAAATAAATGAAATATAAATAAAATGAATAAATAAAAATGAACGAATGAAATGTTACAGCGATTGCCGCGATACCAAAGATTGTTTGTGAAACAATTCATGCACTAGAATTACAAAATGAGACCCCTTCGTGGAAAATAATGGACAATAAAGGCCGGGTCACGGTCGTGTTGCATTGGGACCAGCGAAATCAAAATTATCGCGCCTCTAGTAGTGGCGGAATGGATGCATCCCCGTCTAAAAAAACAACTTACCAAACAAACGGTGTCGGTGTCGGTGGACTACTGATGGAGAATAACGGCAAACTTAAAAGAGATTTTGAACAATCGTATCAGCATCATCAATCCGTACCCACTATTTACCGACACGGTTCCACGCCTCAAATTACTGTCATTCACCATGACGCTATATCAACACAATCCGACCGCTTGGGTAAATATTTTTAATTATTTTTTGACATTTAAAAACTTCATATTAGCTTAAACGGATGATATCAGTGACAAAAGTAATTAATTCTTATTATTAATATTATTATTATTTTTAATGGCGTTTATGATTTTTATTGGTTATAATATAAATATAAAACTCAAACACTGTTTAATCATAATATCTCAAGATAAACTTTTTAAAGATAATAAGAAATCTAAGAATTTAAAATAATTTATCTGAAGTTCTATTTAATATACGTATTTAGTTTTTTTTTTTTTTTTATTTAATTACTTTTGGTCATTAAATGAAGATAGGAATATTTTTTTCGATTAAAAAGTTATACTTTGATCATGAAAAACACAAAGTATTTATAATTTCTTAAAACATTTTATAATACAACAATTTGTTAAATTATTAATTAATTTATAACTTACTACTACTTGCATATGGCCAACCAGTGATGTAAATTGTTTAATACATGTTATATTATATTGTATTATACAGGCGTATTATACGTCATGTGTAAAAAAGTAAAATACAAGTGGTATAAAAAAAAAAAAAAAATCAGAGATAACTGATAACAGTAATAAAACGACGGAGCATGGCCACACAAGAAACATGGTTATTGGTAGGTGGTTGCCAGTTAGCATCGATCATAGAAAATATATTATAAAGAATAAGCATCATTGTCCATTATAAAGAACTATTCTAGTCATAGACGATAGATCTATTAACTTAAGTTCCATAATTCTAGTCGAAATATTTGTAAATCGTAGTGATACGTGCGATAAGTGTTAAGTCATAAGTCATAATCGTAGACAGTAGACCGCAGTATAATATTATACTAAATTCTATTAATTCTGTTTAATTACCTACAGGCTACAAATTACAATTAAATGAAGTTCCTAAACGTTAGTTACTGTTTCTTTTTACTATGGGTCAACCTAATAATGTCTAATATTATTGATCTTATATTTTTATTACACTCCGGCAGTTATATATTTAACAATCATGTAAACACCATAACATTTTCGTAAAATACTGTATTATACAATTAAAAAATAAAATAAGGTATTTTTACATCACTCTGGCCAACAATATTCATAACTTAAACGTAAGACTAATATATACTCATCCCATTGAAATTCAACTTTAAATTTTTTTTAAAATCATATTTCACTCAATCATATTATTTTTATTTTTATGATTTTATATTAATATGCAACGTTCAAAAATGTGTGCTTTTAAAGGAAACTATATTTTTAAATTATTTAAAATAAATTATTATTTTTAATGAATTCATTAATTCTATTATTATGATTATTATAATTATTATTATTTTTTTTTTTGTTCTTTTTTGGTACTTTGATGTGTAATAATTTAATATGATCTTTATAAGTTAAAAATTCAAACAAAAAAAATTAACTAAAATTTAAATAGGTAAATAAAAAATTATAATTACTTAAATTTGAGAATAAATTATAATGAATTATAAGGACTCAATATATAAGATATTTAGATATTATTGAAAGTAATTATTTATATACATCAATCTATCTATCTATCTATCTATCTATCTTCGACCGCGCTAACTGAGAAAACTACTGAACCGATTTGGCTGAAATTTTTTTTGGCTGAAACCCGACACTCTGCTGAAGGTTTTAGTACCACTTTTGTCAGTAAAAAAGTTCATAAAAGTTCATAAAAAATAAAAACGATTGTACATATATTGTGCGTGTACCTATATTATCAATCCGAGATTGATTATTTAAATATTAAAGCGCTTCAAATTGGACGAATGACTATATTATGTCCTAAGTGCCATGCAAAAAATGGAAAGATGAAACCCATGGACTTTGCTGCGCTGACGGTAAAGTGTTTTACACCAATTTGAGGATCTTCCAGACCTAATTAAAAGTTTAATTGATAATTCTCACCCTCTATCAAAACATTTCTTTGATAATTCTAAACGGTATAATACTCTGTTTCAAATGACATCGTTTGGAGCAAACGAAATAGCTGAAGGGAACTTCATGCCCTCTTTTAAAATTCAGGGTCAAGTGCATCATTTAATAGGTAGTTTACTACCCGAAATTGGAAATAATGCTAAATTTTTACAAATATATTTTATGTCAGAGTTGGATCAAATATCTATTTGAACAAATATGATTCCAAATTTAAAAAGAAGTCTCATTGAATCATTGCAAACAGTTTTGCGTGAAAATAATCACCTCATACAGAGCTTCAGATCTAATCTTGAGTCGAGGTCTTTTGATGAGTTGCAAAACTTTAAGTTAATTATTCATGCTGACAGAGTTCCTCAAGATGAACACAGAAGTCAATATAATGCACCTACCATCGATGAAGTAGCTGTATTATTAGTTAATGAAGATAAAGATTCCAGAGATATAGTTCTGCACGGTCGGAGTGGACACTTGAGTCGCGTTTCCGAATTGAATAGATCTTATGATGCACGGCAATATCCATTGATGTATTTGGTTAAAGCGATAAAATACATATGTAAATATATTAATAAAGGATCAAATAGAGCTACTTTTTCTGTTAATTGTGAAAACGATGAGATTACAAATTATTTGAATGGTCGATACATATGTACTTCTGAAGCGTTTTGGAGAATTTTCAATTTTGAAATCCATGATAGAAATCCGACAGTTCAGCACTTGGCTGTTCATCTAGAAAATGGACAGCGTGTTTTCTTTAATGCTAATAATCTTCATCAAGTTATTGAAAATCCAAGAAGAACGACACTAACTGCATTTTTTGAACTGTGTTCACATGATGATTTTGCGAAAACACTGTTCTATCATGAAGTTCCTTCTTATTATACCTGGGATGATAGCAGAGGCTGGTTAAAGGGAAGATGGGGAAGGATGTTCCAGGTTGGCCAGGAATAAAAATGGACATTGCCATTGGTAGAATTTACACGATTCACCCAAATCAAAGTGAGTGCTTCCATTTAAGATTGTTACTAAATTATGTACAAGGTCCTACTTAATTTGAAAGCTTGAAGGCTTTTGATGGAGTCCTTCACGTGACTTTTAAAGCTACCTGTTTTGCTCTTGGGCTTTTAGAAAATGACAAGCAATGGAAAAAATGCTCTAGCGGAGGCAACTCTTTCAGAAAGTCCTTCAAAATTAAGAGAATTATTCGCAATAATCATAGTTTTCTGCTAACCGTCTCAACCTCAATCTTTGTGGGAACAGTTCAGAAATGATTTTTGTGAAGATATTCTTCATACAGAGCGCACTCGATTAAATGACTTGCAATTTACTTTTTCTGATTAAATATTTAATAGAGGTTTGATTGAAATAGAAGATAAAGTTGTTTGTCTGTCTGAAAAATATTTAACTGAATTTGGAATGAACTCACCTGTTCGAAATGAAAATGCATCTGATCCTTTTGAATTCTCAATTTTGCGTTCTTACGATAATAACCGATTACAAGAATTTGTATAAATCAATTTACCAAAATTAGTAAATGATCAAAAATATGCTTTTAATATTATTACAGAAAGCGTAATGAATCATCAAGGAAGAGTTTTTTTTTTTAGATGTTCCGGGTGGTACAGGAAAAACATTCCTAATTAATTTGTTGTTGGCTCAAATTAGATCCTCAGATAAAGTTGCATTAGCAGTAGCTTCATCTGGTATAGCAGCAACTCTCCTTAGTGGCGGCAGAACTGCTCACTCAACTTTCAAGTTTCCGTTAAATGTATTTTTGTAAAAATGGCTCTCTTGGAAAAATTTTTCAAGAAACCTCATTCGTTGTGTGGGATGAGTGTACAGTGAGTCACAGATCACATATCGAAGCAATTGATCAAACATTAAAAGATCTTAAGTGTAATTATAAGTTTATGGGTGGCATAACATTTGTTTAAGCTGGTGATTTCCGTCAAACCTTAACAGTAATCCCTAAAGGTACTCGAGCTGATGTCGTTAATGCTTGCTTAAAATCTTCCCCTATATGGAACTATGTTGAAAAACTATTTGCGAACAAACATGAGAGTTTATTTATGCGGACGATATTTTTCCAGCACAGTTGTTGAAAATTGGAAATGGAACTTTAGAAAATGAAAATGGTTACATTTCTGTCAATCACACGATTGGACGGGTGGTCAATAACGTGGAAGAGTTGATTTCTACAGTTTATCCTGACATTTTTAATCTGTCCAATAAATCTTATCAGTGGTTATGTGAAAGAGCTATTATCTCTCCGAGAAATGTAACAGCAGGATAAATTAATGATATCATTCTTCTAAAATTCGATGGACACTCACGTGAATATCTATCTATTGATTCAGTTACATCAACAGATGATGCTATTCATTATCCACAAGAATTTCTCAATTCTCTTTCTCCTTCGGGGTTTCCTCCTCATAAGCTAAAATTAAAAATTGGTGCTCCAATTACATTATTACGTAATCTTTAACCACCGAACTTATGTAACGGTACAAGATTACAAATAAAATAGTTGCGAAATAATATTATAGAAGCCGTAATTCTTACAGGGCCAGCGAAAGGAGAAATCGTATTTATTCCAAGAATTCCCATGATTCCCTCCGACTTGCCGTTTTCTTTCAAACGGCTTCAATTCCCAGTTAAAGTTTCTTTTGCCATTACCATAAACAAAGCGCAAGGTCAAACATTCAAGTACGTTGGCGTAGATCTTCGTACAAAGTGCTTTTCACATTGGTAATTTAAACGTGGCATTTTCTCGAACTGGGGACCCGAATCATCTTATGATTTTAATTTCAACAGGAAATATAACAAAAAATATCATATACTCAGAAGTTTTATAAAATTCTTATTTTAATTCTTTTTTTTCTTTTTTTTTCTTCATCAACTTCAATCAAATTCTTTATCAACCATAAATTATTTCTTTTTTTATCATTTATAACGCTAGAAAAATTTCAATCCGTTTTCATTAACCGTTTTTTTATATTTACTTACCGATCACATTAAACAATAATATTTGAATAAAAA